TGTCCTGGAGTAGACCAGGTGGTGGGAACTCCCTCCCTCCCTCCTCCTCCTTCCAGGGAGGCTCCTCTTCCCAGTCTCTGAGGCATTAAGCTCCCATCTCCGGGGAGCCTGTTCACAGCCAGCCACACCTCACTTCTGACCTCCCAGGCCTTTGTCCCGGGTGCCCTCTGCACAATAGCCAGGGCTCCCGGGGCCCCAAACAGCTGCTGAGGCTGCTACTGAGGCTTGCTCTGGGGCCAGGGTGGCTGGCCTGGGCCAGGGCCTACCTCACCCAGCTGAGAGGTCAGCAAGCTGCTCCCTCCTGCCTATCTCAGGCTGCTCAGGAGCCTCTTCAGACAGAAACTTACCTCCCATAAGAAAAACCGTGACTCCACCAAATAAGGAAACTGCCGGCAGAGGGGTAAAGCGACTTGCCTGAGGACACGCAGCAGTGATGGTATAGGAGCTCAACTTCTGAGCTGCCCAAGCATCCGCTGACCTCTAAAACAGTACCCAGATCATATCACACCTCCCTCTGCCCTAGAGACCTGCGCTAGCTCAACTCTTCCTCCAGGCCTTACTAGCTTTCTATTTATCTTTTATCTTTGCCCGATTGTGACTTCCTCTGCCTTTCCTGATGCTCTCCGGGAGCTCCCCAACTCCCCTCTGCCAGTGACATTCCTGTTCATCCCCTGCATGGAAGATCCGCTCAGTCCACCAAGCCCGCCTCCATCAGGAAGTCTCCAGGCCCAGCTGCACCTTTACACTGTAGAGCTGGCAGTGTCCAGAGTTCAAGTCATCTGGAGACAACTCTTACTCCCCAGGGAGGCTGCAGGCCACCTGATTCCAAACAGTGGCCAGCAGTAGGGCGCCCTTCCCTCAGGCTGACTCTGCGGAACCCCAGGAGCCGGAGGGGGCCCTCAGATTGGAGCCTGGGCCTTCCTTCCCCAGGCCATCACTCCCCACCTCATTCAATCCCACTCCCTAGTAAATAAAATAGGGACAGGAAAGCACCTGCAGGTCTTGGGTTATGACAGAAAGCCTGGAAGGTTCCAGACTAATGTCCTCTACTTGGGAGATTCCAATCCTCATTCCTGTTTCCTAAGTGGCCAGCACACCTAACTGGTTAGGGAGTCAGAGAGACCCTGATGCCACCATTTATTGGCAGGGTGGTTCGGGGCAGGTGGCCTCCATTTCCCCATCTCTGAAATGGCACGCACTCCACCCACAGAAAGGCAAGCTCTGCGTTAGCCCCCCAGCCTTTTGTCTGTGGTGGGCAGTACGCACTCAAGATATTTCAACTGAGGAATCGGCAGTCCAGGTGGAAGGAATCCATCCCCCTTCCCAGCCTCCCCCTCCCCCCAGCAGAATCCCCCTCCCCACCCCCAGCCCGGGCAGACTAAAATAGTCATTAGGCAGATTTCAAAAGATGTCAGTAGCTTATAATTATAGTCGACATCCTTCTGAGATAAAAGTGATTACCTTGGATGCAAATCACTTAGCAACCAATCAGGGCGGCGGGCGGCGCCCGCAGAGGTGACCGGTCGCCAGCCCTCCTCCCGCGGCCGCACCGCACAGGCGGAGAAGGCGCACAATAGCTCTTGACACGCAAATGGGTTAACACAATAAAGGCGGCTCCGGCCGCTGCTGGGGGAGAGCAGCAATTCCCGGCCCGCGGGAGGTAATAAAGCGGCCCTTTTGTGCGCGCCTCCTCGTTCTCACCCCCGCCCGAGCCCAGAGGAATCACCGCCTGATTGAATTACGGTTCATGAATATGAGCTGCAGCTCGCTTTCTCGGCTGGGGAGGGAAGGGAAGACAGAAGGGCAGGAGGGAGATTGGGAGGGGCCCCTGACCGGACCCCAGCCCCCTAGGAACTCAGGTGGGAGCCAGGCGTGCTTTCCACGTAGGGGCCCCTGGTGGGTAGGTGTAGACACGCCTGATCTGGAACTGGGGCCTCCACTTCTGGCTGCAAGGGACTGGGAGAGCTAACATGATGCTAACAGTAGCCACAAAACTGTACATTTATAGAGTGCTTACTGTATACCGTAGGCTGCACTAAGCCCTCACTGAATCGCCCCACTACCCTGGGCAGTGGGTAGTATTAGCAGCTCCTTGTCACAGACAGGACACCAAGGCTCAGAGAGGCACAGCGGCTCAGCCAAGGTCACACAGAAGCATGGGACAGGCTAGGGAGTCAGACTCAAGGCCAAGTCACTCCTGAGGGTGGCTCCATCAGCCTCATGACCAAAAGTACATATTTAACAGTATCTCAGCAAGAGGTTTAAGTGACCCAGCCCCAGGCCAGAGTAAGTATAAGGCTCAGAGGGACCCAGGATGGAGGAGCTTAATACATGCAATTAATTACACAAGGGAGGACGGGGTCTTGAGGCTGCCAGAGAACTTCAGTCTCTCCTGCTCTGACGGGAAGGGATAGGGACAGGGACGGTCACTGTGCCCATGAAGGGATCTGGGGCCACTCCTTCCCCCACTCAGCACAGTAGGCCCAGGGCCCTCTCTGACCACTCCCACTGCCCGAACTCCCTTCCCACCCAGTTGCCAGTCCGGTGCATCTGTGTTGGTCCCCTGAGATCCACAAGGCAGCCTTCCTGCTGCAGGGCCCCTCCCAACCCTGTGCCCACATCTACCAAAGGTGCCAATGCCCGACTGCATTCCTGCCTCCCCACCAGCTGAGTGCCTGCCAGAGGGCTCCTGGGTGGCTAAGGGTAGCAGGCTGCCTCATGGAGTCCTGTAAGGGCTTTTTCACAGACAAGGCATCCTGAGGGGACCAGATTCCATAGCTGACAGTGCCTTACTGTCAGGTGCAGGGACCCCTGTCCAGTGAGTCGGAGTGCTCCCTTCTGACCACAGAAAGGATAGGAAGGCCTTGGAAATTCTGAAGCCAATGCAACTCGGGCCAAACCTTGGTAGCCTCCCAGCTAAGCATCACTTTCCTGATTTGAGCCTCAATTTCCTTACCTATAAAATGGGTAACAGGGCTGGGGATTTAGCTCAGTGGCTTAAGCATCTGCCTGGCAAATGCGAGGTCATGATCCCCAGTTCAAAAAACAAAACAAAACAAAACAAAACAAAACACCGGTGACAGAACATGAGCCACTTTCTAAAGAGAAACTAGCATCCTGCAAAATGCCTGGCACACAGGGAGACGCTGGGTTAGCTGACACTCCCCCCTGCTCAGCGTCTGGCACTGATGGCGGAGCCCAGGGAGCCAAGGGGAAGGAACAGAAGGAATTGCCCAATTCTTACAGCCCTTCCCTCTGCCTTGGCTGAGGAAGTGTAAATACTCCACGGAGGGCCTCCAAGCGCCTGTGTTTGTGGATCTGGCGCGCACTCCGAGTTTGTTTCTAAACTGGGAAGCATTGAGAAGCAGTGCAAACAGCCCTTCTGTCCACATCTCCAGGTTCTCCCCCAATCTGCTGTTGCTCTGCTGTCCTCAGAAGCTTGTGTTTAACAACACCATTTCAGCTGGAAATACCATCTCCCTGCCAAGCCCCCCAAAGCAGTTCTGCGGATATTTATTATACCTGTTAATCTAGTAGAGCGTCTGGTAGGAAGACAGCAAAAAAGCTCACTGCACAGAGACTGTGGCCTGGCTGCTCAGAGCCACCCCCGGCCCCACACCACCGGAGCAATGACACGGAAATGTGATGACAGCAGTTTCACCCACATCTGACATTGGCAGTAATTGCTGGAAGGGACTTAGTAGAGGAATCACAGAGCCAGCACCAGGATGCTGACTGGCGGGGGCAGGGGAGTCTCTGGGCCCTCCCAGGTACAGGGGAAGACAGGGCTGGTGCCCTCTGCCACCAAAGCTAGCCTCTGGCAGAGGCAATGAATTCAGGCCTTAGCACTAACTTGTCTCCTATTCACTCGATGAGCATCAGTCATACAGTGTTTGTCAAAAATCATCTTAAATACCAAAGGGAGAATGGGGCAGGCAGCAGTGGTAGGTAGGCCAAAGCCCCACATCCTGGGGTTGAACAGTGGATTTGGAGCATGCATTCCCTGGTTGGGGGCGGGCCATTCACATTTTCCTGAGCAGAAGTTGTCTATTTGGAGGTTCAACGCCCATATCTGTCTGGGGATGCTGGAATTTCAGCCTACTGGCTGGGAATATGGGATTCAGGGAACTCTCCTCTTTTGCATCCCATTTGAAAGCAGAAAGTTGCTCTCTGGGAGCTCTGAGCCCCAGGCACTGCCAGGCTCCGTGGGCAAAGTTCTGAACACCTGTCCTTGGGGGGAGGAGCATCAGCAGGGACAGCTGGCATCGCCTCCCTCCCCCACTTCATGTGGCTGCTGAGGATTTAGGTCAGAGGACTGCAGTGGGGGATGGGGGAGTCGGCCTTCAACCTTGCACTAGGCAAAGGCATCTGGCCCTGCCCCCTCTTAGCCTTGGGTCAGGGCAAGTCGCGTTGTCACGGCAACCCAGTGACGTCAGAGGCAGGGTAGTGACGTCACGCCGCGGCCTCATCAAGGAACACGTTGTCCCTAGGAGTTATTTGCGGGAACGCAGGCTGGAAATGGGGGGAATCCTGCTACAGTCTAGTCCCAGAGGCTGCCACCTGCATAACCTAGACTCCACATTTTCCTCTGGAACCGATGCTCCTTGGAGATCTTTGAGGGTGCTGTGGAGATCCTTAATGCTATCCCATCCTGGGTCCCCACACCCCGTTCCTTCGAGACGCAGGAGTTCCCCGAGAAATTTTCGGATTTCGGAGCCACTACCTTTGTTAGACTTACGGGTGGGGTGACCTTTCTTCTCTGGTTACCGCACCGCCCAAAGCTCCGCGGAACACCCACTGAGGACCTCGGCCTTTACTCCAGCCGGCTAGTCAGTTCGAACAAGTTGTGTATGGGAGGGAATGGGGAGGACAAGTGGTATTGCTACCTCAGGGACCTCAACAATCGAGAGCCCCCTTCATATTCAATCCAGGTTACCCGGCCGCCAGGGGGTGCCTCCAGCTGCAGCCTGGAATCCATCCCCGCCCCCCGCGCAACTCACCGGATCAGCCACGCAGGAGAAGGGCACCAGATCTTAGTGGCCACGACGCTCCGCTGCTAGGGTCGCAGCCATGCAGGGGAGGGAGAAGCTGCCTGAGGAACCCCGCTAGGGGGCCGACGCCTCTGTCCGGGCGGGAACGGGCGCGTAGATGAGAGCGATCCGGACACTGGACCTCGCAGTTCAAAGTCGGGAGGTTTTCCGCTCAGTGGGGGTCGCGTTCACCGGGGCTGCGGGCTGCACGGTCTCTCAGACGGCGCATCTTCGCCAAAGCCTGTGCTCGCCGTGTCCGGCGGGAGGCGCTGCGCCTCCCCTCGGGGCCCCGCTCAAGGCTGCAGCTTTGCCCGCGCCGCTCCCAGGGCGCCCTCTCCGTCCGCGCTGGGAGCCCGGCGGCCGCGGCCCCTCTCACCAGCCCCAGCTGCAGCCTGTCTTTGTTGCTTCCTCTCGCCTACCCGCCCGCGGCTTGCAGCCTTCGGGTTTGCTCGTGGGTGGGGTGGTCTTCCTCTCCCGGGATTGCACGCACCTGCAGCGGCCCCGGCTTCTCGCCGGGCATGCACCAGCCCCCGCAGGTTGCAAAGAGCAGAGGCGAGAATGCACCGGCCCCTCCTCCTCCTGCTCGGAGTCCCGAGTGTGGGGGGAGGGGAAGCCGGTGAGCAGCAGCGGCGGCGGCGGCAGCGGAGAGTCGGATGCAGCCTCGGGGGTCTCGGCGCCGAGGAACAGCAGGTCCAGGTGGCACAGGACGGACGCAGGAACGGCCCAGGGGACAGTGCAGCCCGTGTACGAGCTTGGGAGCTGCAGCAGGGAGGCGCGTGCCGGGCTCTCACGCGCCCATGGCCCCGGGCGGCGCGCGAGGGCTCCCGGGGCCGCAGCCTCGCGCCACCTGGCGCGCGCGGGCGCCTCGCCTCGCGCCCGGGTACCGCGCAGTGTCCCGTAGGCAGCGGGCCCGGCTCTCCGCCTTCCCCGGCCAGCGCGCGCAGCCTCTCCGCGGAGCTGCCGGCCCAGCAGTCCTACCCGCTGCTCCGCTCCGGCCCGACTGACAGGCTCGAGCGCCGGCCGCCGCCGCTGCGTCTCGCCCCTGGCCCGCCCCCCTTATCCCAGCCCAATCAGAGGCGGCTAAGAGGCGGTTACCAGGGTGACGCGGCGCCGCGTCCTTTAGGGGGCGGGGCCGGGGGCCGCCACGCGCGCTTTTCGCGGCAAAATTCAAAGGCCGGCAGGGCGGCTCTCCTACTTTCTCCCCCAAGCAGGGACCAGCGAGGACCTGACTCTCCAGGACTGCAACTCCCGGCATACTATGCGCTAGCGTTGGGCGTAGAAGCCCCGACTGGAGGCGCATGGTGTGATGTTACTTGTAGTCCATGTGTTGGAGAAAGGACTGGAAAATCCAGTGTCATTTATTGAGATTATATTTGCGCCAAAGCACAGTGCTAAATGCATTATCTGCATCTTTTCAGTTAATGTTGGGTGCAACTCTATGAGAGATGTGTCAAAAATAGTAACCAAAAAGAATAAGATCGTAGCTCAGCGTAGAGCAAGTGTTCTCAAGGCCCTGGGTCCATCCCTAGCACCAAAAAAAAAAAAAAAAAAAAAAAGTAATAACAAAGATAACAGTAACTAGGATGTTTGCTGTTAGAACTACGTAGTTTACCTAACCCTCACAACCATGTGAGGTAGGTATTATCACCCCCACTTTACAGATGAGAAAACTGATACAGAGACTCTATTATTGTGTCCAAATTGCAGGAGAAACTGATATTAAGAAATGTGAAGTGTCTTGAATGTTTTGTATTAAGGCATATTTTGGAAAATGATGGAGTTTTGGCATTACAACTGAGATCTGTAGAGCACTAGCTGATAGTAACATGTAGAACTCTTTGTAAGTTATCTCTCATTGGAGGCAGGCACCGATATTCATATTCTCTGCCACTCTCTCTCTCTCTCTCTCTCTGTCTTTTTGTCTCTCTATCTCTCCGTCTCTCTGTCTCTCTGTCTCTCTCTGTCTGTCTGTCTGTCTGTCTCTCTCTCTCTCTCTCTCTCTCTCTCTGTCTTTCTCAGTGGAGTCTTGATACTCTGTCCAGGCTAGCTCCTGGGCTCAAGAGTCAAAAAGATCCTCCTAACTCAGCCTCCCAAGTACTAGAACTACAGATATCACACCCAGAATGGCATCTGTAGTTCTCTTCCATTAACAGACAGGGAAGTCACAAGGGTTGCTATAGGCCTGTAATCCTAAGGGAGGACAGGGCAAGCTCAGCCCAGCCTGGGAAACTTCAGGAATTAGGGAGACCCTGGCTCTAAATGAATAAATAGGCTGGGGATGCAACTTAGTGTAACGGCCCTGGGCTCAATCCCCTGTGCTACAATGAACAAAAGAAAATAAATAAAAAACCAGATGGGAGAAACTGAGGCACAGTTTCACATCCACCTGCAGGCGAAAGCTGAATCCATCAAATTATACCGCGCCTTGCCTTTTCTTTCTAAACAACTGCACAAATTCTCACGGGGTCTGTAAGATAGCCCATGGGTGGTTGGTGTCCCATTTACAGACGAGGAAATGAAGTCTGAGGAGGGCAGGTCCCTCAGTTCCCTTAGGGAGGCAGCAAATTAGGGAGCTGGCTTTCCAGACTAACTAACCCTCAGGCTCCCTACAGAAACACAAAGCAGCCACCAAACCTCTGCTCTCCCTGCCCTGGGCTCCACCCCTGTGACACCTGGAGTCCTAGGGAACCTGGCTGGGGTTCCAGCACTGTCCTTTCTAGCTGTTGGCTTTCACCATTTATCTTCCCAGTTCTGTGCCCCAGTTTCTTATCTGCAAAATAGGTGGACAGAATATTTTAATTCCTACCGTGTAGGATTGCTGTAAGGCTGAACTGAATGTGTGGAAAGAACATTGTAAGTGCTCAATAAATGCCTGCAGTGGTCTGCTTTGGTGGGCAAGTGAGGGTATGCAGAACAATGCACCAATTATAACCTGGGCCTAGCCCACCCCTACCCAGAACCTGGGAAAGGCAGGACCTTTAGATCTAGCCCAAGTAGGCCACCCACCACCTTATCTAGGGCACGAGCTGGCCCTGTTTCAGGTCTCCAAGCAGCAGCTGTGTGTAGTTTCCAGCAGCCCGGTGCTTGCTCTATTTCTCTGAGGCTGCCCCCACCCCCACCCTATTTGAGTGAATGCTGGGGGCGGGGATCTACCTGGAAACCTGATCCGGCCACCAGCTGCTTTGCAGCAGGCCAGCTGCCAGAGCACCCCTGACGTCAGTGCAAGTTGCTCTGGTGATTGGCTGGGTGGACCTAGGACATGGACAATGGGGGAAACAAAATTCAAGCCAGGGACAAGGTGGCAAGAGTGACAACCAAAGCCTAGAAGGGGAGAAAGAACAGGAAGGGGAGAAGGAAGCAACAGGCCACTCCACAGCCTTTCCAGAGTTGGGGATGTTTCTCATTGTAGGTCTCCATGGAATGCCGCCTTCGATGTGTTGGGGGGAATGTCCAGTGCTATTTGTATCACATGGACCTAGCAGGCTTGTGAGGTATACAGGATTACTACCCACATCTTACAGCAGAGGAAGGCCATCTGACTTGCCCAAGGTCCCCCGACGACAGTACTGGGTCCCAAGAACCTCAGCCCTTCATCTTGACTTATTACACCCTGTGCCAGCCTCTAATAGACAGAGTATGATCCTGGGGGTGAGTTTCTCCTCTTTTCTGAATCTCAGCTTCCTTATCAGACTCTTAGAGGTAAATCAGAAGTTTCCCAAGGTTCCCACGTGATTCCAAAGTGCAGCCAAGGCTAACAACCAAGGCTTTAAAAAAAAAAATGGCCCGTGCCTGTAATCCTAGCATTCTGAGTGGTGGAGGCAGGAAGATTCTAAATTCAAGGCCTGACTGGGAAACTTCGTGATTTAGCAAGACCCTGTGTAAAAACAAAACAAAACAATTCAAAAGCAGTGAAACTGGGGATGTAACTCATTGTAAAGGCAATGAATTGAATTCCCAGGACTGGGGGAGAAAAGATCTGGAAAGGTCCCCCATCTCTGAATGTTGAGGAGCTCATGATGGGCTAATGCTGGGATTTCAGGGATCAGCAGACTCAAAAGCAGCTCTATGGGCCATGAAGTATCTTCCCAGTGCCTGTGGTGTACTCCAGGCGGGTGAACACCCCATCAGATGCTTGGCCTTGGCTTCCACTTATGCTCTAAATATACATTATCTTCCCAATGAACCAACCTCCCCAGTGTCGTGTCTGAGTCTCAGTTCTGGCTCATGTCCAACAACAGCACTGTGGGACCTGAAACAGTGTTGCATTTGCCCTAGTCCATGGAATCATAGACTGGCCATAGATTGGGCTCAGGAGTTGACTGTAGTCTGTGGCACTGCCGGCCGGCCAGTTCCTGAACACTGGCTCCTGCCAGGGGCCGAAGAGGCCCCAGGAAGATGGGGATAGAGGGCATGGAGTTCCTCGTCCATTCTCTGTTTACCAAGAAATCACACTGGGCCAGACACTGGGCTTTCTACAGTGACCCCAACCAAGACATCTGCCACGTGGAACTGAATTTTTATGGGACTGAAACCAGGAGCTAAAAGGAATCTCCAGGTACCAGGAGAGGGCAGAGCACAGAGCAGGTGATGGGCAAGGGATTGCCCAGGAGAAGCTGAGGATGCTCCTGGTAGAGGACACAATTGATGCAAAAAAAAAAAAAATTGTGGGGAGCTGGCAATTCCCTAGAGCAGAGTTGGATCACAGCGAGGTGGGACTGGGAGGCTGAGGAGAGGAGAGAAGGCAGAGCTGGGGCTTGCACCCTGACGGGAGCAGGCCTGCCTCAGCCTCCCACCCCACCCCCAGTTGCCTCACCTGCCCTGGTTGCTATAATCTAGGCCGGAGCCTGGAGGGAACCGAGCCCCCATTGGTGCACACCCTGTAGGTTTTTCAGAGATAATTTAATCAGAGCTATTAATAAGCAGAAAAGAAAGAGCTCTTTATGCTTCTCCCAGAGAAAAGGGGTGAAAAGGAGCTCGTGTAACCTTGTCATTACCCGCCCTGCCCCCAGAGCCTAACGCCCATGGGGGGGGGGGTGCAATGAGGAGGTGGGGGAGGGGCAAGCCATGGTTCGGGGTGAGGAGGCCCAGGTAGCCTCAGGGACTCTCTCCTGCCAAGGCCCCACCTGCAGTGCACCCTCGCCCCATCTTGCTACTCTGACCTTCTCTGGGACACTTGAAGGTGCCACGTGGATGCCAATTCCAGTAGTCTTGCTTTCATTCTTTGCACAGCTGGCTCATTCTTGTACTTCTAGTATTAGCTCAAATGTCACCTCCTCAGGAAGCCCTCCCTGACTATCCCATCTGAAGTTACTGTCTCCCTTTTGTTTTCCGCTACACAACCCTGGCTACTGGTGGCAACTCCCAGGGCCTTTGTGGGCCCACTTATTTTCTGTTTCCCTGTCTGGACTCTGTTCTGAGAAAGACTTCACTACAGTGTCTCTAGCACCTTACAGAGTTACTGATACAGAGTAGGTTTTAAGATGAAGTTTGTTGATAGATTTCAAGAAGGTTTAGAGGATATGGAAGGAGGATAGGGCTGGGATAGGAACCAGGAAGTATTGTGAATTCTTTCAACCTGGAAGACCTTTCTGAGAACTCAAGAACCATTAATTGTCTCCTCTTTTTTTTTTTTATTTTTTATTTTTTAATTGTTAAGGATTGGAAGGCTCAGAGAGGAAAAGATACTTGCCTGAGGTTTTGCAGTAAGTTTGGGCTGGCAGGGGAGCTTGAACCCAGAGCCCTTTGGAGAACGTATGGTTCCATATGGGTCCCATCTTGAGCAGAACTCTGCATTGTCAGGCCTCAGGCAGAGTCAGAAGGGAAATTCTTGTCCTGTGCTACATTCGATTAGTGATGTCTGCCATGAGTCTGGCCTTGGGTGTTGGGGAACCAGCAGCTTTAAGGGCCATTCCTGTGTTTATGGCTTTGAGTTTAAAGGAGCACTTGACTGGGAGTCAGGAAACTTGGTTCTTTCAGTCAGTATC